TTACAGCCTCCAGGAACCCAGTAAAGTGGACACAACCCACGGTGATAGGCCTTTTAGAGGGTTCTTATCGCAATAAACCGATGGTGATAGCCTCTGGGAACATTGTAAAGCTGACACAACCCACGGTGATAGGCCTATTACAGGATACTTTTTACAATAAAAACAATGGTGAGAGCCTCACGGAGCACAGTAAAGCTGGAAAAAAAACACGGTGATACGCCTTTTAGAGGGAGCTAATCGCAAAAGAACCGACGGTGATAACCTCGGGGAACACAGCAAAGCGGACACAACCCACGGTGACTGGCCTTTCAGAAGGTTCTTATCGCAATAAAACCGACGGTGATAGCCTCAGGGAACAATGTAAAGCTGACACAAACCATGGTGAAAGGCCTTTAACAGGATACTTATTGCAATAAAAACGACGGTGACAGCCTCAAGGACCACAGTAAATCTGACAAAACTCACGGTGATAGCCCTTTTAGATATCATATTTCTTATTGCAAAAGAAGCTCGGGGAACACAGTAAAGCTGACACAACCCAGGGTTATAGGCCTTTTAGAGAGTTCTTATCGCAAAAGAACCCACGGTGATGGTCTCGGGGAACACAGTAAAGCGGACACAACCCACGGTGATAGTCCTCTTAGATAGTTTTTATCGCAATAGACACGACGGTGATGCCCACGGGGAAAAAAGTAAAACTGACACAACCCACGGTGATAGCCCCTTTAGAGTGTTCAAATCGCAATAAAACAGGCGGTAATAGGCTCCTGGAAAACAGAAATGCTAACACAACAGAGGGTGATTCGCTTTAAGACGGTTCTTCGAGAACACAGTAAACACAGTAAGGCTGAAACAAAGCACGATGTTAGGCCATTTAGGGGTTTCGTATAGCAATTAAACAGACGGGGATAACCTCGATGCAAAGTTAACTTGACACAACCCACGGTGACAGGACATTAAGAGGGTTCTTATAACGATGAAGCCAACGGTGATAGCATCGTGGTCATAGTTATGTTGACACCACCCACGGTCAAAGACCATTTAGGGGGTTCTTATCAAAATAAAGCCGACGGTGATAGCGTCAGGGAAGGTAAAGGTGACTTAGCCCACGGTTATAGGCATTAAGGTTACAGCGTCAGGGAACAAAATAAAGCTGACGCAACCCATGGTGATAGGCTTTTAAGATGATTTTTATCGCTATAAAACTACGTTGACAGCCTCAGGGAACAAAATAAAGTTGACACAACCCATGGTGATAGGCCTTTTAGAGAGTTATTATCTCAATAATAACAACGACTTTAGCCTCGGAGAATACAGTTAAGATGACACAATCCTCAATGATAAGCCTGTTAGAGGGTTCTTATAAAAAAAAATTCCGACAGCGCTATCCTTAGGGAACATATTATGGCTGACACAACCCACGGTGATAGGCCTTTTAGAGGTTACTTATCGCAATGGAACCGCCGGTGATAGCCTTGGAAAAACCGTTCATGTGACACAACCCAAGGTGATTGCCCTTTTAGAGTGATCAAATCGCAATAAAACCGACAGTGACAGTTTTAGGCAACACAAAGAACGTTGATTACAACCCACAGTGTAGCCATTTGGAGGGCTCTTATCGCAATAAAACCCACGGTGACAGCCACGGGGAACACAGTAAAGTGGACATAACCCACGGTGACAGGCCTTTAAGAGGGTTCTCATCGCACATGAACCGACAGTGATAGCCTCAATGAAAAAAAGTAAGGCTGACACAACATACGGTGATAGAGGGTACCTATCGCAATGAAACTAAAGTTGATAGCCTCGGGGAGAACATTAAAGCTGACATAACCTACGGTGATAGGCCTTTAAGAGGGTTCTGATTGCAATAACACCGACGGTGATAGCCTAAGTAGACATGGTAAAGCTGACACACGCCACGGTGATAGGCGATTTAGAGAGTCATTATTGCAATAAAACTAACGATGATAGCCTCGGGGACAACAGTTAAGGTTACAAAACCCCCTGTGGTGTATTTATCGCATTAAAACCGATGGTGACATCTTCAGGCCACACATAAAAGCTGATACCACCAATGGTGTATGGCCATTTAGAGGGCTCTTATAGCATATAAAACACGGTGACAGCCTCAGGAAAACACAGTAAAGCAGACACAACCCAAGGTGACAGGCCTTTAAGAGGCTTCTTATCACAATGAAACCTAGGATGATAGCCTAAGGGAAAAAAGTAAAGATGACACAACCCACGGTGATAGAGGGTACTTATCGCAATGAAACTAAAGTTGATAGCCTCGGCGAACACATTAAAGCTGACACAACCCACGGTGATAGGCCATTAAAAGGGTTCTTATTGCAATAAAACCGACGGTGATAGCCTCGGGGAACACATTGCAGCGAACACAGACCACGGTGATAGGCCATATAGGGGTTCTTATCGTAATAAAACCTACGGTAATATCATCAGGAAAGAAGCAAAGCTGACACAACCCAGGGTGTTAGGCCTTTCAAAGCGTTCTTATTGCAATAAAAGCGACGGTGATAGCCTCGGGGAACACAGTAATGCAGGCACAACCGACATCGATAGGCCTTTTAGAGGATTCTTATCGCAAAAAACGGCTATGACAGCCTGAGGCAACAAAGTAAGGCTTACACAACCCACGGTGTATCATGGAGCTAAGTCAAATTGACAGAAGACACGGTAATAGGCCATTTAGGGGGTTCTTATCGCAATAACACCGACGGTGATAGCCTCGGTTTTTTAGAGTTTTTATCGCAATAAAACAGACGTCGATAGCCTCGAGGAACACATTAAAGCTGATACAACCCACGGTGGAATTAAGCCCACGGTGATATCATAAGGGAATACAGTAAGCTCTTACACCCCTAGGTGAGGTGTTTTATTGGAATAAAGCCCACGGTGATAGCTTCAGGGAATACAGTAAAGCTGACACAACCAACGGTGACGGGCCCTTAAGAGGGTTCTTATCATAATCAAACCGACTGTGATAGCCTCAGTTGATAAAAGTAAAGCTGACACAACCCACGGTTATTGATGGTACTAATCGCAATGAAACCGACGTTGATTGCCTCGGGAAACACATTAAAGCTGACACAACCCACGGTGATAGGCCTTTATGAGGGTTCTTATCGCAATAAAACCAACAGTGATAGTCTCAGGGGCCATAGTTCAGTTGAAACAACCAAATGTGATAGGCCATTAAAGGGGCATTATCGAAATAAAGCCGACGGTGATAGCCTAAGGAAAAAAAATAAAGCTGACTTATCCCACGGTAATATGCCTTTATGAGGGTTTTTATCGCAATAAATCCGGCGGGGATAGCCTCATGGAACACAGTAAAGCTGGCACAACCCACGGTGATAGGCCTTTAAGAGGGTTCTAATTGCAATATAACCGACAGTGAAAGCCTCTGGGAACACATAAACGCTGACACAATCCATTGTGATAGGCCTTTTAGAGGGTACTTATTGCAATTAAACCTACGGTAATAGCCTCGAGGAACACATTAAAGCTGATACAACCCACGGCGATAGGCCTTTAAAGGGTTCTGATTGCAATAAAAGCGACGGTGATAGCCTCGGGTAACACAGTAACGCTGACACCAACCAAGGTGATAGGCCTTTTAGAGAATTCTTATCCCAATAAAAACGACGGTGACAGCCTCAGGGAACAAAGTAAAGCTGACACAAACCACGGTGATAGGCCTTTAAGAGGGTTCTAATTGCAATAAAAACCGACTATGTTACCCTTGGGAAGACATTAAAGCTGACACAACTTACGGTGATAGGCCATTTAAGGGGTTGTTAACGCAATAAAACTAACGGTGATAGCCTCATTGAAAAAGTAAAGATGACACAACCCACGGTGATAGGCCATATACATGTAGACGTTCCTTATCGCAATAGAACTGATAGTGATAGCCTCGGGGGAAAACAGTTAAGTTGACATAACCCACGGTGATAGCCCTTTTAAAGTGTTCAAATCGCAATAAAGCAGACGGTGATAGCCTCGGGGAACACCTTAGAGCTGATACAACTCACGGTGATAGGTCTTTTAGAGGGTTCTTATCGCAATGACACCGACGGTGATAGCCTCGAGGAACAAAATAAAATTTGACTTTTAGGGTTTTTATCGCAATAAAGCAAACGGCGCTAGCCTCTGGGTACACAGTAAAGCAGACAACCCTCGGTGAGTGTTTCATTGGAATAAAGCCCACGGTGATAGCCTCAGGGAATACAGTAAAGCTCTTACACCCCACGATGAGTGTTTCATTGGAATAAAGCCCACGGTGATAGCCTCAGGGAAAACAGGAAAGCTTTTATAACCGACGGTAATAGCCTCAGGAAATACAGTAAAGCTCTCATAACCCACGGTTATTGCCTTTTTAGAGGGTTTTATTGGATTAAAGTCCACGGTGATAGCTTCAGGGAATACAGTAAAGCTTTTATAACCCACGGTTATAGCCTCAAGGAATACAGTAAAGCTCTCATAACCCACGGTGATTGTCATTTTAGAGGGTTTTATGGGAATAAAGTCCACGGTGATAGCTTCAGGGAATACAGTAAAGCTCAAAGAACCCACGATGATGCGCCTTTCAGTTTATTCTTCAAGCAAGAAAACCTACGGTGTTAGCCTCAGGGAATACAGTAAATCTCATACAACCTCATTGTTTACAAGTGGATTGTTTTGCTTAATTCATTACTTATTCAATTGATTGTATAATTAACTCAACTGAGTGTGTAATTAAAAAGATTACCTACTTAACCGCAAACGCATTAAGGTAATCGTCTTTTACCACCACTACTGTTCTTTTTAAATAGACAAGATCAATATGTGACATAGCATAAATTTATTATGTTTATGTCAAAAAATCTTAACCAAATTGATACATGACAAAAACAAACAATAGCGACATACGATATCCGTTATCAATATCATGTTGAGATAAATAAATAATATAATCAGTTGTTTATTTCGTTCATTTACTCAATGTCATATGTAATATTAATATGTAGACTACAAAACCGCTATAAAATGTTTTATAAACTTACAGTTTTCTTACTGAGTTTTCAGGTGTACGAGTGTACATTTGGTCCGCCATATCCGGTAACTGGTGCCTGGTTTAAAGACAGGTTTTCTCTGGCAGAATGGAACGCAACGCTTCGTGAATTTTCCAAACAAGGTGGTGACACTGTACTTCTTAGAGCACCTGCATTACAATTAGTACGGTATGAAGATCTTGTTGAAGACAAAAACTTCAAAGTAAGTTTTATATAATATTTGTGTTATGCACTTACTATGCTCTGCAAATACATGTATGTTGTGTATTATATTTTGCATGGGCTGGAGGCCAAAATTCAAATAAATTTTGTCATTGTCATTGATATATTCTCTATAGTTTTGTATCAGTTGTCTTAATTATGGCTTGGTATTGAATATCAGTATTAAAGCTGGACGAAAAATAAAAACTCAGCATTCTTTATGAAATATTTTGTTTTGTCTGTCCAATTTTACACGCAAAATTAACTGTTCGGATGTTTAAAATGTTTTTTCCCCGGTTAAAACGTAATATCATTCTGTAAAGTATTAGTAAAATGTTTAGTTTCACACCAACATACAAATATTTGCTCTTATTTCTATTATCTATTCCAGTGGTGCGGAAGCAATTTCCGGGAAAACCCTACAGATGAGTATCGTGATTGTTACCATGAAGCCGTGAAAGACCTTCAACTATTCAACATCACAGTTGGCGCAATAGCTTTATACCAATATGAAGAAGATTTTGATAAATCTTCAGTTATTAAATGTCCTCAATACGACAAGATGATAGTATCTGACAGGGTGTATTACAGATTAGTTCTGCCATTGTCTGATCGCAGGTAAACACCGTCTGCTTTTATGAAGTTTGGTCTTAAAGATCCTTCATGAAATAATGTTCAAATAAATGTCGTCTGCTACCGCGGAAAAAATTCAAGTAAGTGTCGTCTGAGGAAAAATGTTCCAGTAAATGTCGTTTGCTATCGCGGAAATACTTGTTCAAGTAAGTGTCATCTGTTATCGCAAACAAAATATATAAGGAAATGTCGTCTGGCAAAAATGTTCAGGTAAACGCCGTTTGCAATGGCGGACAAATTGTTTAAGTAAATTTCGTCTGCTACTGCCGGAAAAATTCAAGTAAATGTTGTCCGGTAAAAAGGTTCGAGTTGATAAAGTCTGTTAGATAAGAGAATCGCTGTACTGTATATATTCGGTTCTTATGATATCACGGGTTCTATGATATCACGGTATTTACATTTTCTGTGACTGCTAGTAAGAGCAACACACCACGATGCTAATATTTTTAAAACTGGCGTACTAATCTCATCTTCATCTGCCAAGACATTTAATTTTGTGAATAAAGAATGTAATTGTGGGAAGTAAACTATTTTATACAGTCTTCATATTTGACTACAATTTATCTTTATTATTTTACACAGTCTATCAAAATATATTACAATCACATATACTGACATATCTTCTGTTCCATAGTTTGAATATAATAGCAAGTCAACTGGTTGAAGTTTTTCACAACTTAACTTGAAGATTTTGACCCATCTATCCTTCCATACTTGCATTTCTGGGGATTACCGTGATACCATAGTAACCTCCTATGAAAATACTGAAAATAGACATTGAAAGTATTAAAAAATAACATTTAAATTAGATCTTCAGAAATAAATCTTTCACAGGCAGTCTTGGAAAAGGATCACTTATTAAATAGAAGGAAAATGTCATTCATGTATGATATTTATATTTGAATACTTTTCAATAAACGTTAAGCACCGTGATATCATAGAACCCCGGGATATCATTTATACAACGTTATTGTAACTGTAATTACTATTTACAATTCCGAAAGAAAATTTATTATGCTATTCTCTTTTGTTTTCAGTAACCCTTGTGATTTAAACAGTACAGAAGTATTGTTGCTCTTCACCATGTTCTCTGGCATTGACCCACACGAACTTCTGCTGATATCAGCCGCAGACTATAACATGTCAGTTTATTTTGGACTACCGCAACCACCTGTTTGGTACAAGAATGGTCAAGTCAGTAACACCTCTCACTTGATGGCATATTATAACTTTATCCAGAGAGTGTTATTGGATCACAAAAAGCGATACAGTTTCTCCAATTCTTCCAAACAATTGAATTTATACGATACTGTAAAAGGATACTTTTGGTCCGATGACGTTTTGCTCACTGATACTGGGAAAGCATTGGGATCTAAAAATGAAACATACCTAGATATATTTAAAACACTCGCAAAATATACTCATGGAAATAAGAAACTTTTCGGTGTTTCGTCATATGTACAATCAAATAAGTTTGAAGAAAGTTTAACGTTAGACAACAACGTTGCTGCATTTACTTCCATTGTTACGCAATGTGAAATTGACGTCATTTCCGTTAAAGATGGTCGTGGCTCAGCTAATAATGCATTATTCTGGGATACACAATATAGTTCAAGAATTGATACAACAGATGCCGGTCTTTACCGAATTCTTGAATACTACTATCCTACAGAAATGCGTAACAGAATAGTGAAAACATATGATTACTTCTTCAATTTTAGCGTAAATCAGGTAAGAAAATTGTTTTAAGAGCAAAGTCTAAATAACGCCCATTATTTTATTATCTTTTGACGATGGAATGATATCTCTTTAAATGGTCAATAATTCAAAAACAACATTTTTGTATTTTTTGTGTTCATGTTCCCATTAATTTCATTAAAGGTATTCAATGCATTATCAGGAAAGCGTGATGAACTACATAAATCTGGTAACAGCGTTGAGTTATGGTTAAACATAGATGCATTTGACGCTTTACATGACGACCCATGCCTACCAGTTGATACATCAAGTTCCGGGATGGATCGATTGGTTAACGGCGTCACAAAATCACGTATAGATAGAGTATTGACACACGCAGGGTCTTCCGTTAAAAAAGTGGTGGCCTTTGCTTGGGATCCAGGCTTTACATGCAGCACAAAACAGCACACCTCCCCCATCAAAAACCAAATAAATGCAGATGCAGGGAGACCAATTATTGCGCATTGTTCCTTCCATAGTTCCGCCAATCGTTCTGTCGTTGTTATTGGGTATAATTTACTGAGAGAAACTCAAGGGTTCACGGTTTGTAAAATAACTATTTCTTTTAAAGAATTTAAAGCTTTATAACCGACGTAATATTCTATATGTATAAGTTTAAAAGCAGTCGAAAGCTTTTATATTTATTTCAGAACCGAATTTTCAGATTAGATAAGAATGTTTATAAGTTTCATGTATCCCAATATAATTGATTATTCCACTTATTCATCGTTCTTGCTTTTTGCCTGCGCAGACAGCGCATGCTCGAAATATCAGTTCCGTTACTATGGGGTTATCGTCGTTTAAATTGTCCTCTTGTAAAGAATGTGCAGTCTGTATGAATTTACCATTAGTATTAGAATTAGTCATTAAAGCAAATTGAAAAAAACATGCATTTTTAACATCTCAACAAGTTTTAGATGCAGCAATTTGTAACCAGTTACCACGGACAACATTTTTATTGGAGCACCAGCCCTTATCCGAAGTTTAAAAGAAAGGGACAAATAATTGTGGATATGGCAATTTAATGTTTTAAAATATGTGTAACATAATTTTTTTTAACTTACTAAGCAATGTTTATCACTATTCTAATTATGTGTTTTATCTTATTTTAGATTGAATGGCCAAATGTAAACGGGAAAAGGGAAGTTACCCATGTGCACGGTTATTATTTCGAGTTGGATTGGGGGATTCAGCACGACCGAGTCCCTTCTTTGATGTATATACAAATGTATGACCCTTACGATATCATTGACCTTGCTCAGAAAGGATATGTGAAGGTCACGGCCGACGATGGTTATCATGCATGCCTTTTTAAATATGATTTTTCGACAGGAAAGGGTCTCGTGAAATTTGAGAATGACAGACAAATTAAGAAGTTTTACCGTATTGAGCAAAAACCGATTTATAGGGTATATGGACAAGATATTCCATTCTAGTAGTTTGCTGTACATGTACGACACTTTTATGGGTATAGATTTTAGACAAATCAATTGTATTAAGAAAACGTCATTTGTCAATCATTATCACAACCTTTGTATTTCTTTAAATAGTTTTTGAACAGCTTTCAATGTGAAATTATCAAAATAGACTTTCAAAAGATTTTCACGGTCCACTTTAGAGCAAGTAATTAAACGAGTTATTAATTTTTAATAACGATATATCACCCATAATTTCAAACAAGAGTTGTAATAACGAGGAAGTCGTATTATAAGATAAGAAGTGGTAATAACAAAACTAAACTCGTTTGTACGGAGAACAATATATGTGTGCATGTACTTTTACCCTAAGACATTTTATTAAACAAAAACATCTCGAAACGTTCGTGCTTTTTATTGGTTGCTCTTTTAATTTGGAACTTCATGGTTCTTAATACGAACGTATTCAAAATGATCAAACTTGGCAACAAACATTAGTTGAAGAACCGCATTGTATGACTGCAATGTCATGCTCAGGCTGTACTGGCTCTGTAAAGGTGTTGGTGGTGGTTTTTGAAGTTTAATCCCCCACCTCCACTACGATCACTGCCGTAAGTCACTTTCAATAACAATGCCAGTATTTTAGGTTTTTTAACTAAAATAATAACTACACCATATACTCTTTTTAAGTGGAAACAATTTTATTTCACATTATAAAATCTAGAAAAAACAAGAGGAAAGATTGTATTGCATGTACAAATTCATCCCTGTACTTATATATAACTTAAACAGAAGATCATTTTATACAGAAGTGTTTTTATCAAATCTTAATAATCGTAAAAATAAAAGTTCTAGGTGATTCAAACACAGATTATTTTGTGCCCAAATCCATTATTTAATGTCCATTGTAAACAGACAAGAATCGATGTCATACTACTGCTGTTATACAATAATAAATATTTGTTTAAAAGGGTGGAAAGCTATACATGACAAAATGCATACACATTTTCATATTATAATGGTCATATTTGCAAATAAAGTTTTTATAAAAATTGTACTCAATTTGAACCAACATGAAAAATGAAAACAAAAGAGAAGAAAAATGTTTCCTTACAAAATATTTAATTGCTTTTTAATCAGTTTAGTAATTATTCCAGGCAATGGTCAACTATTTTGATAGAAATTTACAAACGTCATTTGTTTGACTAAGGAACTTTGGTTTGATTTTTTTAAGAAGAAACAAATTTTCTTTCAATTACAGTAAGTCCAATATAGCTTTTCACCCTTTAAACTTTACAATAATCTTCATCATCATTAAAAATTGTTATATACAAGAAATAAACAAATACAACAGTGGTATAACAAATTCATTGGTGAACGATTTAAAATTATAAAATTCGCAAATATAAATATTTATGACCCAGCTTATGCTGACCAATGACAGAGCAATAGGTTTCATAAAGAAAACAAAATCGAAATATATACCTACAGAACACACATCTTTGAAACACAATAAAATAAATAAATACACAAATATTTTCATCATCTCCATGTATAAATAATGTCTTCTGAGGTTTTCTTCCCCCATTAATTGTCCTAGAAATAAACAACAACTTGTAAGACTGTAACATAAACACATAATCAACAATAGAATATATACAATAATATTAGAAAAAAAGTGAAAATATCACAAAATATAAATGATAATGTGAATAAAAACAACAACAAAAATGTAACAATGTAAATGGACGGAATGAAGCACTTCAGACCCTTTGGCAGTCAATCAAAATTGTCATATAATACAATCACAGCAGGTAATGAACAAAATATATAATACATGGTTATAATTTTGATAAAAATAAATCGAGAATAATCTATAAACATGGCAGACATAGTAATTGCATCACAAAAGACATAAACATGTACATTGCATATCAATTTTATTTTACAATTTTTATTGTAATATCAAAAAAGTTTCATAAAAAATAAATAAGAAATGCACCTTCTCAATGTTATCAACTCGATTTTATAATACTCAATTTTTTTTAATTTCATCACATTATTCATCACCACTTTTGTATTTTTTTTTTTTACTCCTCAAAGAATACACACACGTTTTATATTTTGATAAATGTACATAGACTTTATATATGTTTTATATGGTTCGAGTATTTTCAGTTAATACGGTCGTATTATTTTCCAATTAATACGGTCGTATTGTGGCTGAGAGACCTCTAAGAGACCATCTAGCCGACGGAATTCCCTCACGCCGTACGTCAAGCTCCATTATAGGCTCGGGCGTGTTGCTATTCTAGATGCATACACAGGACACTGGTATGTTTCTGCGGCTCGGTTTGAATCCTGTAAGATGGGTTTTTCATTAGCCGGCCAGCATGTGAGGTGAACGACTGGAAGGGTAGCATACCCACTACGTGGTGGGGCATCTTGTAGCTCTCCCGTTGTCTCTCTCCCAGCACAGCCCCATATATAAATACCATACACAAACATGCCTTCTTGTGGTGGGTCTCGTAACTAATTGGTAGAAAAAATAAAAGCAATGATCATATAATGATGTTTTATCTTCTCAATCATTTGAAATTGTTAAACAATTATCAAAATATAGTAAATAGAACTTTTAATTAAAAACATTGACTTACTTTATATTATTGTAGAACTTTTTTTCACATATAAATGTCACATATTTTTATTAGCAAAAGTCTTGTCTTGTGTAGTATAGACAGCACCTTCTATGAGAAATTTTCATCATTTTGTACTTTATCAAATCAATTATGGATTAAAACAATTTTTTTTCCTTTAGAATAACAATATTGAAAGAGCAGCTCATCTCCCAGTTTCAGTAATCAATACATATTTAAAAACTACATATCTTTCGTTCTAGATATGACTTCGTCTGAAAACGAACTGTTCGAAATTTCCTGATCTGCGTTAGAATATCTAGATATAATTGTTCATATCCAGGAGACCACAATGAAGAATGCTCGCTAACCAATAACGCAGATCTTTCACGACCCGTATCATAACCAAACAGGAATCTATGGCTATTCATTCAATAATTCAAACTTAAATCTCCAATATCTATTCAATAAGAAAAAATTTGTCATACAACACAATCATAATTGTATTAATGTAATAATAATAATATATCAACTGCATTAAAATTGTCAGACATCATTATAAGACGCAATATGAGTCCAACTCTTTATATCATTCTATATAACTACAATAAGAATCTCTCAAGTATGACACTTGTTTTGGACTCATTACCAGATCCGACCCCATGGTATGAGGTTCCGGACCGACATTTTTTACACAGACACGTGGTACGCAGTGATACAAGTCGTCTCTGCAGAAGAAACTTATCTACACCTATCTCAAGGGCGGTCGTCCACACGGCATTTTCTATCATCTGTAATACAAATATATCTTACATTGTATCATTATTTCATATAAAACTTTACCTGGATTGTTGTAATACATGCTATACATAGAACTTATTTCCATAATATTCAACTGACTGGTTTGAAGAAAATCATTTAAAGAATCTAAAATAGTCATTGAGCTTATATAAAAAGGGTAGGACAATACAATGCCAGCAATGCAAATTAATAATGAGGAACAGTGGAACAGCCTTACATAAGCAACTAGATAGAATACAATTGATTACTGTTCATATTCCATACTGTACAATACATAATCCAGCTTAATATTTTGTTCGTCCAACATGAAATATGATAAGTTAATAAATAGAGAACTACTGGAGTGGTGATTGATTTCTGTAAGAAGTTTATACATGTTCCAAACTCCTTCAGATTTACAGTAAAGTGTAAACCTCAGTTCTTTACCTTCTCTCTATGTAATCCTAAAAAATATCAAAAACAACTTTTAAAACTTCTTTTCAATAAATGTAAAAAACATTTATTGAACCAAATCATTCCTGAATATATATCAATATTTCTTGTTATATTCTACAACAACTATCTTATTCATTCAATCCAAATCAAGAAATTGTTGGGAAAAATTTGTTATTTTCATATTACTAGCTAATATCTTTTATAGAAAAAAAATAGTCTTCAAAAAACGGTTTTTTCAGTAAATTATAAAACACAGAAACCATCACTTCTATTTTAATGGTTAGCAACAACCATTTGGCAGTTCACTATATTGAAATTTTTTTTCATTTTGAACTTACGCTTATTTTTGGCCAAAATTTTCATCAATAAAAAGCAATATAACAGATTTCAAACCAGCAAAATACAGCATTATATCCTATATCTTTTACTTTGTAAAGATAAACCTGTTATAAGCTTTTGCATTTCTGTAATATGTATAGCAATTTCCCACAATTCACATTTTCCTCATCTTGAAAGTAGCAAAACTTGCAGTGTGCAAAACACACCTTGACCTACAACTGTGAGTTATAACTCTGTGCGCTAACCCCTGCCAAGCTGGTCCTTATTATATATATAATAATGACAATTATATCTCTATTAATTTTTCTTTTTATTTAAGTCTACAACTTCAAAGTCTGCCTAAAAGCTATAGACTGGTCTGAAACAACCACTAATATTTTATCGACGAAAAAACTTGTCAAAACCCTCAAATTTTACAAAACAATATTTTACTAGTCCTGTGACGGTGAAATCATTTCACTACGGATGAAATATTTTTTCTTTTTTTTTGCACTTTTACCTTAATGGTTGCATTATTTCATTTGATTCCCACTTATTAAGCTAATTTTTTACAACAGATCATCAAATCAATTAATTTTGAAAATTTACGGATTCCATCTTATCAAACTGAATAAAAATATTAAATAGCCGTATGGCAAAACCAAATATAGTGGGTTTGCGACACATATCCAGACCAGCCTGCACACATCCCGCAGTTTATCAGGATCCATTGCTGTTCGCTTACAACCTCATTACAAGGGTAGGAGAAAACTGATATGAACAGCAGTATCCTATCAAGCTCCGAATGCGTCAGGTGGTCTGTATCATGCTGGTTCGCATAAACGCACATGTTGGTTTGTGCATGACCGGCTCAATAAATTTTGGAATTTGTTAAAAACAAGAACCTACCTTCGAAATGATTGGTGTCTTGAAACATCATGTGTAAGTGTGTCATTAAGCATACTATTCAAATACACATTCACAAGTGTTAAACACATACTATTCATCTCCAGAAGGAGTCTAAAAACACATTAAATAATTCAAAAAAATAAAAAATCACAAAGTTTCCTTTAACACAAAATTAAATTTCAACTTCATAGGGAAAATTCATAAAGAATAATTTTACATATATTTATTATTATCATTATTGAATGATAAACAATTAAAGAATTCAAAAAAAAATCAAGTAAAGCAGCCAAAATTACATCACTTTCACAAATATAGCACTATATATTATATTAATACCAATTATACCCTTATACATTAAATGATTAGCCAATTCTCTTGAATTTGGGCAGATGATAATTTCAAGGATCAATAATAAAATACAAAAATGAATCTACCGCGCTGACACTTAGCAAACACTTATCAGTTCTTTTATTGTAAAGTTAAGCAATACCATGACAATTTTTTTGCAATCATTGGAATGCCTACAATTATGCTATCAGTATTAAGTCTGCAACAGCACAAACGTGCTTTTTAGGTTAACTAACACAAATATTGCTGAATCATAAGCAGCCTCAGCCATTCATGTAAATTACAACACTATTTACCTTAAATTTTTAGACCTACAGTTTAAAATGTAGTATTATTATATCAACAACCAAACATGGTGAAAGATAAAGCAATGGAACAATAGTAACTAAACACAATACAATGACACAAATTGGCCTTCAAAGTTACATACTCAG